AATAAAAAAAAAAAAAAAAAAAAAAGTGGGGGGAGGGAGTACATTACCAGGAAACTGAGTGGGTTCAAAAGGGAAAAAAAGACATGATCCTCTCATAAATAAGTATTCCTCCTTGGCAATACCTGCCAGATGCTGTTTTTATAGTTAAGATCTATACTGTGGAAAAGTAGAGTTTATGTGTGTGTGTTTTCCTTTGCAATTAATTAATTAAAATTGCTATTTTTAAAAAAACAGAAATTTTCAGTCAGCACAAAGGCCTTTGGTTAGTGGATTAGGAATATTTAACAGGGATGATAACTGCAACAGTAATAATAGTTTCTAAGGATATAAAACCTTGACAGATAGGATAGCATATTCTCATAATGCTTTTTTTTAAATGTGGTTTTTTCCCTTAAAATTAAATTGATACACCTATTAAAATGTAATGAACCATTTTGTCATCAGATAGGGCATTTGAAAAGATGAATCAATGTAAAAGAAAATCAGATTAATTCCAAAATATTTCTTAAATTTAATTTATATTAAGCAGATTCACAAATCTTAAACTCATCCACATTAGTCATTTCTTTTTGACTCTTGAGCCTTTTTAAAAAAGAAGAGAGTATTTCAAAGTCATTTCCAAATTTTCAACAGCAAGAGGAAGGTTCTCTGAGGGCCCCACCAAAGCCTCTGGGATGTAAGTTTCTCATACATGATGTAATAATTCATTCATTGGCTACTATCTCATGTACTTTTGTTCTAACACTGTCACATGGTTTTCTAGGACTCAGTGTTTGATACATCAGTTTGGAATCCCCCTATCATCAATAAAAGCAACAGATTCATATAGAAACTTACCTGCGGCAGCCATTTTTAGGACTAAGAATCCATGCACTGAAAAACATGTACAGAAGAGCTCACAGTGATTTTAAAAAGTCAGCCAGAGGCAGTATATGTCCTTGTGAAAGCTGTGTGTACAGGTGATGATCCTGTGCCCCACCAGATGCTGCCGAAGTTCAGCATCCATCAGAATAGCTGGGTGGGCTGGACTTACAAGAGCTACAGTTCAGCAACATTTGGAGGGCTACAGGCACTCCTACATCTGATCTAGACTGTAGCTAAGTATCATTAAACACTGCCCAGAATCCTTTCAACAAGATGGGCGATGACAAATTTGATAGACAGAATTTCCAAGTGATTTTTTGCTCTTTTTTTCTGTTTTAGTAATAAGGAGTTGGCACATAGGATGGTCTTTAAGTTGCTTCTTCATGGGGAAGAATATAACAAAATTCTAACATAAAAAGCAAACTTGCTTGCTAGTTCAGAATGTCAGATCTAATCAAACCTAAACAGCTTTTCAAATATTTTCTAAAAAATGCAAAGGGTGAAACACAAGGGTGACTAAAATTTTTAAAAAAATAAATAAAAATCCTAGTATTTTATAGTAGCAGTCTGCAATTTATTTCCCTAATCATTGCATTTGTGGCCCTATCAAATCTTGGGAATTTGTTTAACACTCACTTTGTTTTAGGAAAGATGATGCTAGTAGACATTTATTGTGAAGAACTGGGTTTACGTGGCCTGTTTAGTTTTGTCTTCAGCAGCTAAATCAGCGTTGCATCTTTTCTTCCTCCTCCTGCTCTTGCTGCTGTTTGTACCTCTGCCTTGCCCGTTTACTACGCATGCTCCTTGTTCAGATCCTGCCTCTCCTAAGAAATGCAGAGCTCGCTTTGGCCTCAACCAACAAATGGACTGGTGCGGCCCATGCAGGTGTGTATCTGGAACTTTAGCTTTGCAGCCTGTTCCTTACTATATAGATGGTTGTGCTCTATTTTGATTTATCTCTCATGCATCATTTCTATAGCTGCCTTTTCTAACCCTACTAATGGTGCTGCTTAGGCTTGCTCTTGATGGCCTATCTAGATTTTCCACGTGCTCCATTTGAGTGTTGCCTGCAGATGGTTTCTGCATTTAAGACAGAAAAGGGAGATTCATTAGTAAAATTTCTTGTCGTAATATATATATATGGTGAGGGGGAAAAATGCCTTTTTAACTAAAGTGGTATATGGACAAATGATTAAAAATATTGGAAAATGGTGTCAGATTTAATTAAAATGGACTAAAGGATAAAAATGGTAAACTATCAGAATACTTTTTCTATGGATCAGCTACCAAAACCTGCTGACAGGTGCTACATGCCCTTCCCAATCCAAACAGGCAAGAATTTCCCACTTTCTATGTTAATAATACAGTATGGCTTCTATGAGTTTTTTAACATGAGGTCCTCCAAAGATTCTCTTCTTAGTGGTTCTTTAGGAAAATGACTACTGCTTCTTTAGAATTTTGGTTAAGAAAGCAATTATTTTTCTTGGTATCAGTTGATCTCAATACCCATGCTATTGACTATCCCCTACAATTAATATTTTTAGTTTCTTATCCTAGCAAATGAATCAATCTGTGGCTGAAGATAATGCAAGTATACTATCCCCAGTTTTTTCTCCCAGAGTAAACAGATTCTCAAGGCTGTTTTTAAAGTAATGGATTGGGGGGGGGGGGGGAATGTAACACAGAGCTCCTCAACCATGCAGGCAGAATTTCCCAGTTTTTTTTAGGGGGGGTAGGATTGCTAAGCAAAATATGATTCTGCAAGTCTAACACATACCTAATGGCTTCCATTTGTGATCAGAACAACAGTAACTCAACCATGCAGGCAGAATTTCCCAGTTTTTTTTAGGGGGGTAGGATTGCTAAGCAAAATATGATTCTGCAAGTCTAACACATACCTAATGGCTTCCATTTGTGATCAGAACAACAGTAACAAACAATGAAATAGTCTGTAAACAAAAGTGTTGCTATTTGAGAGGTACTCTTAACACCGAAAAGAAAGAACACAAAGCCTTCAAACACTGAGTAGGGACAACAATTCTTGTTGAGATACTGCCTCTCCTAAGTAAAGCAGGACTGATAAAAGAGAATATCTACTCACATCTCCTATAATAACAATGCTCTTCTTTTGGTTTTCTTTAGAGTAGAACACAACTTGTAAAAGAGCCTATAGTTTTTCACGCTCTAGCATCTTTACTATCAATGGCTCCCAGTACTTTTCTTTGAATTTAGACAGCTTTTCAGCCCTAAGGAAAATCTTGGTGCTTTTTGGAAGCACATCAGGATGTTTATTCTAGGTTTGAGAGATCATGGATCTAAAATCATGCTCTCACTCCATCATGATTCTACCCCAATTTGTTGATTCAATTAATCTGTATCCTCCAATTAAATATAGGATTTTTACTTCATTGGTTGGTATAAAGGATTTTTTCTCTGTTGGTTTATTGGGTGAAGAAATTCAATACATAATAGCTGCTGTAACTACATGGTTTCATCAAGTCTACCTAGCTATCAGAATGCTGAACTTCTAAGAAAAAACCCTCAATATTCACTCTTATTCTCATTAGCTACTAAATGACCTCTCTTCTATAAATGGTATCCATGTAGAAGAATTACAGTTACCAATTAATGTGCAAGACTAGAACCAAGAGTAGACTGGTGACTGTCTCTAGCAATACAATTATTAACCAATGGCACTCTTAACAACTTTTCTTTCTGAATATCTTGATTTATACTGAGGTAAGAATTAACACTTTGCTTGTAGTCAACATTGCTTCCAGACTAACAAAAGTAGTTGGGCTGCATCTTTAAGATGCTGTTTCCTTATTTCCTCCTCTTCTACAAGTGTGAGGCCCAAACCAACTTGCATATCTGAAAGGGAGTAGGAAAGTTATGTTGTCTAGATAGGCAATGCAGCTGGATCTTACTGCAATTCAAATCCTTGGCTTACTGATTTATCTTTTCCCAAAATAATATGGTTATACAAAGCTTCAAATGTTGCATTCTCTTGAAGTTGTTTCACAATGTAATAAAGATCCCCACACTTTTAAGACAATTATTCCATTCAGTCTGCTTTAGAGTCCCTCTCATCATACTCCCACAGAGCTTGAGCTATAAATGTAGGCTGAGAAGAATCTTCTTTGGCAAGCCCTGTGGGAGAGGATTGAGAGGTGCCTTCTTCTCAGCACAGGCTAGAGATCTCCCAGTGTGGATTGGGAGAATATCAGAGCCTTGTCCACTGTATCCTGGGCAGAGAAAGCCAGTGACACCATCAACTTACTTGTTCTCCCCAAGACCAGTTGGTCAGGAGCACTCCCCAGCAGGTGTCAGATAGGTTAGACAGATGGTGAACAAGGTGGCACCAACAACTCACCCGTCCTGACACATGCTTGCAAGACTTTTTGCCAGCCAATGCCAAAAGGACACAAGTGGGACTGCCACTGGCTCACCCGCCCTGGCCATGCTGGTCAACAGTCCAACAGGAAATGCATGGCTGGCTGGCATCATTGGTTCAACTCTCCAGGATGCATTGGCCAAAATATCACCATTACTGCACCTGCTTCCTTTCTATATACATAGGCTGAAAATCCTCAGACTGAAGTGTTTTCAAGCTGGCCACTTTTACTGCATGCTGCAGAGAATCTGCATGCTGTGTTTTGTCAAAATCAACCCGCCTGTAAAACCTTTACACACCAAGAGGGGTCATATAGGATGGCTTTGTTGAGTGCTACAGAATTGCCTAGAACACATTGCATCAATGGCATTCACCATTGATCCACTCCCATAAACAGAAGGTTTTCCAAGCTGAGTGGCTTCATTCCACACTATAGGTCTGGTTATATAGTTGCCTGGTCAGAAAGCCCATTAATCAATCCTGGGTGGAAAGGCTGAGAGAGCCCATTTCCCACAGCCTTGGCCTGAAGTAGTTTGAGGCCACCTAAATCAAGGTGAATTAGATGCCCTTTTCAGTGAAATGAATTTGTTTGCTTTCACCGCTCAAGCCTCTTTGTCAAAATAAATCTTAACAATTTGGACAAGCTGTACTGGAAATATGAGAACTGCAGTGGAAGATAAAATAGGAGATTATAGCTTTGAAACTAATGTGATATTGTTAGTCAAGTAGTGTCTATCACCAATGATTTACAGGCAATTAATTCATATTCAAGTAAGCAGAATAATTTCTAAATATATTCAAGTACAACACATGGACAGAGCATCCTTAGAGTTATCCCTGCCAAAACTACTACTCATCTTATTTCTAGATTTTTTTTGTTGTTATTTTTGGTGCCTTCAAGTCAGCATTGACTCCTGGTGGCTACCTGGACATGTCCCTGTAGTTTTCTTGGCAAGATTTCAAAAGTGGCTTGCCACTGCCTCCTTCTGAGGGCTGAGAGAAAGTGACTGGCCCAAGGTCATCCAGCTGACTTTGTACCTAAGGCAGGACTAGAACTCATAGTCTCCCGGTTTCTAGCCTGGTGTCTTAACCACTCCAAACTGGCTCTCATTTCTGCATAAATATGACCTAAAACATGATCTGTTCTCCACACAAGTCTTAAAACTGGATCAAGAAAACCCAATTAAACAAATGAGTCAAAAACTTTATACTTGTTATTGAGAAGAATTATCCAAATCTATGTATTTGTGTGTAGCCAAAGTATGTGAACCTTTGCTTTCAGTAAGCCCTTGGGCAGCAATAACTGCAACTAAACGTTTCTGACAACTGTTAATCAGTTCTGCATAATTTTAGTCCTTGCACATTATTGTTGTTCAGTGTTCTGATAGTGGTCTCATGAACATTGAGATTTGCCAATGCAAGAGAGGCCTTTAGTTCCTTAGGCATTACCCTTGGCCTCTTTGAGACTTCCTGGAGTATAACATACCTTACTCTTGGTGTGATCTTGGTTGGTCAACCCCTCCTGGGGAAGGTGACAATGTTGAATTGCTTTCATTTGTACATGATCTTCCTGACAGTGAACTGATGGAGCCCAAACTCTTTGGAAATAGTTTTCTAATCTTTCCCAGCCTGGTGAGCATCAACAACTGTTTTTTGGAGGTGTTCAGAAATCTCCTTTATTCAAACCATGACACTCTTCCACATAGCTGTGTTGTAAAGATGAGACTTTGATAGTGAATACCCAGAATTCTGTTCTTTAAATAAGGTAGGACCTCCCACATTCACACCTGATTATCAACCTGCTGATTGAAACACCTGACCCTAATTTCCCCTTCTAATAAACTGATAATCCTAGAAGTTCATATACTTTTGCCACACACAAATGGATAGCTTTGGATTATTTTCCTCAATAAATAAATGATCAAGTATAATGCTTTTGACTCATTTGTTTAACTGGATCCTCTTTATTTAGTTTTAGGACTCATGTGAAAAACAGATTGCATTTTAGGTCATATTTATGCAGAAATATTGAAAATTCAAAAGAACTCACAAACTTTTAAGCACCACTCTAACACTGAATTGGGATTTAATCATGATTTGAACAAGTCATAGTGGTTTCATTCACAAATTACACTAAGTTAAAAAGCACCCAAATTACAGTTTAAGGTGATGGTAAAACAGACCATTGTGCTATTAAGCATTGAACAGATAAACCTTGATTCCAGAAGGTAATTGGCCACCATAGCTCAGACTCTGAATCAAGTTATTAGCCATTTAATTCTGTATGAAAGCTGTCATGCATACCTGATCATGAGTGAGACAGAGGCAGCAAGAGCTTACTAGAGCTAATAACCTCTTATTTTTTTGCAAGTTACAATTAAAGTATATTCAGCTTTGTTTTCTTGTTTTCTCCTGGAGAAAATCTATTCATGTGATTGCTAAGAGTCAATGCCAACCTGATAGCCCATAATCAATTTCTTGTTTTGGCATTATCCGCTCACCCAGAAACAACAAATATTGGATGAACCAAATATATAATGAAATTATACTACAGTAATGAGTCATACAAGACATTGCAGGCTACTTTCTTAGTAAAAGTTACAGATATCAGGATTTGGGGCTCTTTCAAACATTTAAGCGTTTGCTGGATACATTTCAGAAAAATTCTTTGTCAAAGGTACCTTCCATAAAAGTATCAGCCTCAAGAAAGCTATTCATATTTTTTTCTCTACTGTGTGTGCTCTTCCACAGCTGGGTCAACCATGACTACTGAACTTATCATAAGAGTCTTCTAGCTCTTTTCCAGACAGTATCTTTCCTCAACATATCACTATTTTTTCAGCTCCACCCCAAAATGCATGATGCCTAATGTGTATACACAGCATCTCTTCAACTGCAAATCAAGAAAATACATTAAGAAGCCAAGAGTTCTTGCCTATACTAAATGTGATCACTGAAACGCAAAACTCCTCTGTACAGAAACATTTCAGTGAATATGTGAAAATCTTTATTCTGGCACTTTTATTTTCAATAAAAAATTGAAGAGTTGGAGATGGAGATGGAGGACATTTCTTGGAAAATTTACAAAGCATACAATGATTAAATTAGTGCAATAAAGAAAAAGATCAAGGCTTTCCTTACCTGCATTTTTAAAATTTGTTTTTGTTTATGATTAGCTAATCAAAATACTTAGGATTTGTCCAACTCTTTCAGTTGTCTTACTATCAAAGGAGGTTCGTATCATCCCATACTTCCTTTGAAATATGTTCTACTGCTACAGTTACACCTCCATCTAGTGGTAAAAAATACAAGCTGCCAAGAGGTTTTTTAAAAGAACACTTACAGAAACTTGAGGAGGAATTAAGAATGAATACATTTTTTTCCATCTACGTCCTTATTCCTTAGGCACTATACTTGTATTAAATGCTGTAATGCTTTCATTTTTTAAAATATGACCCTGTAAATTCACCCTTTATTTACAGATAACTCTCTTCACTGTTCTTAGGAGGAAAAAGAAGTGCATTCGGTACCTACAAGGAGAAGGACACTGCACCAGCCCAGTTTCTTCCAATGGAAGTGCTATAGATTCCCCTCCCTCCCTTTTGGATGTGCTCCAGTGTACATCCTCTGCTTTTATTCCAAACAAGCTTGCTGCTCCTGCTGATCTCACACACCAAAACCAAGCCAATCTTTCCTCTGTATCTGTACATCTCAAAACTGCTACAAGCACATCAGGACTTACTTCTAAATGTTCAACAGTGCCTCATAAATCCATAGTGCCAAGTGAATCCTCAGGGCACAGTATGGTATCAATAGGAACATAGTACTAATGTGATAATAAGGCTCACAGATTCATCAGGCACTTTGATGATTGGTTCTGCTGCATATGGAAGCTACAGAGAGAAAACTCCAGCGTGCCAACAAATGGTAGTCTTAAAGTCAGTCAAAAGCCAAATCAGAAAACAACACTGCAGCACTAAAAGTGTTGTCTAAGTAAGGACACCAACAGTCTCTGAAAAGTATGAAGATAAACTTAATTCTGGTCAGTAACTGAATTATTTAGTTCCTTTTCCAATGGAGATAAAAACAAAATACACTGATTTAATTGCAGATGAGAGGTGCTATAAATGTTAAAGCATTTATTAAACTGTTATAGTCAGATTCTGAGTTTCAGTCACCCAATAGATATTATACATGATACAAAAGTAGTTTGATTTATAAGTTCAAATGTTCCACAGAAAAAGGATAAAGCAGCCTGTAAGAAACTAAAATATTTAATTATGCCTCATCTTTGGGAACAAGGGTAGATTGCATTAACAAATGTTTATTCCAGCAGCTTAAAGGCAGAAATACTTATTAGGTGATAAAACAGGAGAAAACACTGTCTGTGTGAAAGTCTGTCTAGTGTTCCAGATATAAGGCTGTGTGCATTACAACTTTTCAGCTGTAAAGATTTTTTCTGCAATCTATTGTAAATTATGCAAAACTCAAAAATCCTTATTTTGCAGTTTCTTGTGCTTCTGCTAGGTAATGGGTGGGAAGAAGGAAAGGATATAAGCTGTACTTCTAATCACTAAAAATTTACTTTGCAGCCTTTCTAGCTTCTTAAAAGCTTGCCAAGATTTACCCACCATCTAACTTCAAGCCTATTGTGAAGCACAACTCTGCCTATAAAGTAATTTCTACCACAACTCCAATATGAAGCCTAGTCATATTCCTCATTCTCTATATCCCTTTTGTCCATTTTACTGGGAAGATATTTATTTGAAAGTTACATGCTTCTCTGGAGCCCAATTCATTTTCAGTGCTAAGCAAAGTTGATTGCTTTGAACTTTAACTATATAATCAATACAGATGTTCCCTTTCTGGTGCACTCTAGGGATAGTAGTTTTCTCAGAGGATAAATACACAGTCACATATTGATGCTAATCCCAACATACTGAGATAATATCAGTGAGAATCCTGAGCTACCAAAGAAAGGGTAGGAGAATTCATAATGTGGTACAGCTGAAATGGGTGGGTCACTTCATTATCAATGATAAAGTAGATTCCTATGACCTTTACAACAGTATTTCAACAAACCTTACCTTAACCTTTCTGGAAATCAAAGGAAGGTCACAAAAATCACAGCTTTGAAGAGTTTGTAAGCCCATGTCTCTAACTTTATGGACTTGAAGCTAAACCACTGCGCTCCATCTGAAAAGAACTCAATAAAGCTGAACACGGATGTGAGCTTTAGCGTGAGTGGCTAGCATGGGAAAACGTTTTATTTCCCCTATTTTTTCCTCCTCCTCTAATCATTTCTCCTTTTTCCAATGTGGCATGAATTGACATTAAAACTAGAAGATCACTAGCCCAAACACCTATCTTGCAGAAATTGTGGGCATATGTATAATTAGGTTTCCCTTATTTTTAATACACCTTAAGCTCACTGCTGTAATCACTGCAATAGGGTAAAATGAACTAAAAGGACCTTTTCCAATAGACAAAACTTGTATCTAAGGTAATCGCATAAAAATCGAAGCTTTATTTATTGGAGTAAGAGTTATTTCAACTAAAAGCTGATTTTGCACTACTTTTTTTCCTCTTTTTTTTTTTTTAAACTAAAGCACTATTCTGAAATATTCGTAGACAATCTTTAACTGTTGTACAATATTGTCACCATGGGCAAAATCCAATATTGTGCACATGGAAGACTGCTTGCACAACAGTTTTTTCTCTTATCTCATGCAACCATTCAATCCTATACAATATCTTTGATCCCTCCCAAAACAGATTTGGCTT